AGGTTACAAATGAAGTAGGATACACCCCTATATATAGGTGATCCAAGATCAAAATGTACATGAACCCTATTAAATACAAATACATGAATTTAGTACATCAAATACATCCATAAATGAGTTCATCCAATGTACCAATGAATCTAGGAAGAATACATATAACTATCATCTTGAGAATACAAATGGACATCTTCATCTTGTAATCCTTCTTGAGAATATCAACGGACAGCCACATCTAGAGAATATCAATGGACATCCATATCTTATCATTATTTCATAACACTCCCCCTTGGATGTCTATTACACAAAGAATATGCCTTGTTAAAACCTTACTAGGGAAAAATCCAGTGGGACAAAAACCCTAGTGAAGGAAAAAGAGTACACTATTTTTGTGTAATAAATTCTCCCCTTGATGCAAACATTATATGAGATCTTTTAACCGACACATACCAATATTCTTCACCAGTTTCCCAAACGTAGCAGTCGGCAAAGCCTTGGTAAACAAATCTGCCAAATTATTATCCGATCGGATTTGTAACACATCAATCTCACCATCCTTCTACAAATCATGAGTAAAGAAGAATTTCGGTGAAATGTGTTTCGTCCTATCTCCCTTAATATATCCTCATTTTAATTGACCTATACAAGCTGCATTATCTTCATATAAAATAGTTGGAAGAATTTTCTTCTCGGAGGATAACCCACAACTCTTCCGGATGTAGTGGGTCATTGATCTTAACCAAATGCATTCTCGACTGACTTCATAAATTGCTATTATTTCAGCATGATTTGATGAAGTGGCAGTTAAGAATTGTTTTGTAGAACGTCAAGAAATGGCTGTTCTGTCACAAGTAAAGAGATAGCCAGTTTGAGATCGTGCTTTATATGGGTCAGACAAATATCCAGCATCAGCATATCCAAGCAACTCAGGTTTAGATTTATTTGAATAAAACAAACCAAGATCAATTGTTCCTTGGAGATAGCGAAAAATGTGTTTAATGCCATTCCAATGTCGTTTTGTAGGCGAGAAACTGAATCTTGTTAATAAATTCACAGCAAATGATATATCTGGCCTTGTACAATTAGCAAGATACATAAGCGCACTAATTGCACTGAGATATGGTATTTCAGGATCAAGTATCTCTTCATGTTCCTCTTGTGGCCTAAAGGGATCCTTATAAGTATCCAATGATCTGATAACCATTAGGGTACTTAATGTATGTGTTTTATCCATACGGAACCGCTTTAATACCTTCTGGGTATAAGCAGTTTGGTGAAAAAAAATTTACCTTCTAAATGCTCAAATTTGTAAATCAAGACAGAATTTTGTCTTTCCAAAATCTTTGATCTCAAATTCTTTCTTCAAATATTGGACAGCCTTTTGGATCTCTTCAGGAGTTCCAATCAAATTGAAATCATCAACATATATAGCAATAATCACAAAATTTGACCCATTTTTTTTGATAAAAACACATGGACATATTGGGTCATTGGTATAACCTTCTTTAGTTAAACATTCATTGAGGCGGTTATACCACATACGTCCAAATTGCTTGAGCCCATACAAGGACTTTTGTATTCTAATAGAATACACATCTCTAGGATTTGATTTACATGCTTCAGGCATGTTGAATCCTTCAAAGATTTTCATGTAAATATTATTTTCAAGATTCCCATACAAATAAGCAGTGACAACGTCCATCAGACGTATATTAAGTTTTTCATGCACTGCAATACTCACAAGATATCTAAACATGATCGTATCCACTACAGGTGAATACGTTTCATCCGAAAGGAAATCATCTGAAAATTGGATTCCTCGATCCTCGTATAAACTAATGTGAACTAGAAGTTCAAGAAATTCTTCATTTGAAGAAAGTTACCGACTCCAGAAGAGTTATTAAATCAACTATTCTTGCAGGAAATACTCTTGTTAAAATTGATATCCCTGAAGGACATGTACAAGTGCTACAAATAAAGGCTGGCCTACCTATATAAGGTATATATTGATTTCAAATATCTCCGGAGATTAAATAAATGTCATGACAAAATTTAACCTCCTGAAGAGGTCGCTCCTGAAGAGTCAGCTCCCGAAAAGCCAGCTCCCGAAGAGCCAACTCCTGAAGAGAATGAAATTATAGAAAAGTTAATTAGAGCCTAATAAAATGTAGCACTTGATATTATAAAAGTTGATGAGCATCATGAATATAGATCGGTTGATGAATGTCGGCATAGAAATGATTGGCCAAAATGAAAAGAATGAAATAGTAAGATATAAAGCAAGACTTGTAGCCCAAGGCTTTTCACAAAGGCCTGGATTTGATTATGATGAAACGTATTCACCTGTAGTGGATACGATCACATTTAGATATCTTGTGAGTATTGCAGTGCATGAAAAACTTGATATGCGTCTAATGGACGTTGTCATTGTTTATTTGTATGGGAATCTTGACAATAATATTTACATGAGAATCCCTGAAGGATTCAACATGCCTGAAGCATGTAAATCAAATTCTAGAGATGCATATTCTATTAGAATACAAAAGTCTTTGTATGGGTTCAAACAATCTGGACGTATATGGTATAACCGCCTCAATGAATGTTTAACTAAAGAAGGTTATACCAATGATCCAATATGTCCATGTGTTTTAATCAAGAAAATGGGTCAAATTTTGTGATTATTGCGATATATGTTGATGATCTCAATTCGATTGGAACTCCTGAAGAGATCCAAAAGGCTGTCCAATATTCGAAGAAAGAATTTGAGATCAAAAATTTTGGAAAGACAAAATTCTGTCTTGGTTTACAAATTGAGCATTTATAAGGTGAAATTTTTGTTCACCAAACTGCTTATACCTAAAAGGTATTAAAGCGGTTCCGTATGGATAAAACACATACATGAAGTACCCCAATGGTCGTCAGATCATTGGATCCTTATAAGGATCCCTTTAGGCCACAAGAGGAACATGAAAAGATACTTGGTCCTGAAGTACCATATCTCAGTGCAATTAGTGCACTTATGTATCTTGCTAATTGTACAAGGCCAGATATATCATTTGCTGTGAATTTATTAGCAAGATTCAGTTCCTCGCCTACAAAACAACATTGGAATGGCATTAAACACATTTTTCGCTATCTCCAAGGAATAATTGATCTTGGTTTGTTTTATTCAAATAAATCTAAACCTGAGTTGCTTGGATATGCTGATGCTGGGTATTTGTTTGACCCACATAAAGCACAATCTCAGACTGGCTATTTCTTTACTTGTGGCGGAACAGCCATTTCTTGGCGTTCTACAAAACATTGCTTAACTGCCACTTCATCAAATCATGCTGAAATAATAGCAATTCATGAAGCCAGTCGAGAATGCATTTGGCTAAAATCAATGACCCACTACATCCGGAAAAGTTGTGGGTTATCATTCGAGAAGAAAATTCCTCCAATTATTTTATATGAAAATAATGCAGCTTGTATAACTCAATTAAAAGGAGGATATATTAAGGGAGATATGACGAAACACATTTCACGCAAATTCTTCTTTACTCATGATTTGCAGAAGAATGGTGAGATTGATGTGCTACAAATCCGATCGGATAATAATTTGGCAGATTTGTTTACCAAGGATTTGCCGACTGCTACGTTTGGGAAACTGGTGAAAAATATTGGTATGCGTCGGTTAAAAAATCTCATATAATGTTTGCTTCAGGGGGAGAATTTATTACACAAGAATAGTGTACTCTTTTTCCTTCACTAAGGTTTTTGTCCCACTGAATTTTTTCCTAGTAAGATTTTAACGAGGCATATTCTTTGTGTAATGGACATCCTTCACTAAGGTTTTTGTCCCACTGAGGCATATTCTTTTTCCTTCACTAAGGTTTTTGTCCCACTGAATTTTTTCCTAGTAAGATTTTAACGAGGCATATTCTTTGTGTAATGGACATCCAAGGGGGAGTGTTATGAAATAATGATAAGATGTGGATGTCCATTGATATTCTCTAGATGTGGCTGTCCGTTAATATTCTCAAGAAGGATTACAAGATGAAAATGTCCGTTTGTATTTTCAAGATGATAGTCACATGTATTCTCCCTAGATTCATTGATACATTGGATGAACTCATTTATGGATGCACTTAATGTACTAAATTCATGTATTTGTATTTAATAGGGTTCATGTACCTTTGATCTTGGATCACCTATATATAGGGGTATATCTTACTTCATTTGTAACCTTGAAAACCTTGAAACTTGGAAGTACTTTGATCAAAAAATATAATATCTCTTCTTCTCACTCTACTATTTCAATCCCTACGTTGGGAGTTTATTTTATTAGTTTCACAACACGTTATCACAACACGTTATGAAATAATGATAAGATGTGGATGTCCATTGATATTCTCTAGATGTGGCTGTCCGCTGATATTCTCAAGAAGGATTACAAGATGAAGATGTCGATTGGTATTCTCAAGATGATAGTCACATGTATTCTCCCTAGATTCATTGGTACATTGGATGAACTCATTTATGGATGTATTTGATGTACTAAATGCATGTATTTGTATTTAATAGGGTTCATGTACCTTTGATCTTGGATCACCTATATATAGGGGTGTATCCTACTTCATTTGTAACCTTGAAACCTGGAAGTATTTTGATCAGTAAATATAATAATTCTATCTCTCTCTTCTTCTGACTCTACTATTCCAATCCCTTCGTTAGTGGTGTATTTTATTAGTTTCACAACACGTTATCAACACGAGTCTCTCCCTTGAGTTAAGGAAAAGTACGAGTCTCTACTTTGAGTGAAGGAAAGGAGCGAAGCAAAAGTGAAGCACGAGACATGTCAAGATTCTGCCCGAACAACTTTTGACTACTTAAAATTTTTTCCTACATATCTATTACATATTCTTATGGCTAATCTCACAAAACAAGAGTTCGTACCTCTTAATATTTCTGAAAAAAATTATTTATCGTGGGTATTGGATATTGAAATTCATCTTGAGGCAATGGGTCTTGGTAATACCATTGTTGATGAGAATGATGCCTCAAACCAAGACCGTGCTAAGGCCATGATTTTTCTTCGTCGTCATTTAGATGAAGGATTAAAAGTAGAATATCTTACTGTCAAAGATCCTCTTGTCCTTTGGCGAGATTTGAAAGAAAGATTCGATCACCTGAAGTTGGTCATTTTTCCAAAAGCCCGATATGATTGGCTCCACTTACGACTACAAGATTTCAAATCTGTCGACGAATATCATTCAGCTATGTTTAGAATTACTTCTCAATTATCATTGTGTGGCGAAAAGGTCACTGATGAAAATATGTTAGAAAAAACATTCTCTATTTTTCATGTCTCTAATATGCTCCTGCAGCAGCAATATAGAGAGAAAGGATTTAAGAAATATTCTGAACTTATTGCATGTCTCCTCTTGGCTGAACAAAATAATGAATTATTGCTGAAAAATCACGAGTCCCGACCAACTGGTGCAAGTTCATTCCCTGAAGTGAATGCGACTCAATTTCAAAATTTTGTTCGAGGTCGTAGACGTTGACGTGGCCATAGAGGTGGCCGTGGAAGAGGCCGTGACCGTGAACGTGATCGTAGTAGATTTATGCCCCGTGAAAATTATCGCCGTAGCAAGCAACAAAATATTTCTCAAGAGAGAGAAAATGACTACTATCCGAAAGAAGGAGAAAAGAAAGTTTATGAAGAAAAATGCTACCAATGTGGTATGGAAGGTCATTGGTCCCGTACCTGTCGTACGGCTGAACATCTTGTTGACCTCTATCAAGCATCATTGAAAAAGAAGGACAAACATGTCGAAACAAATTTTATCGACCAAAAGGATGCTTATGATGATGATGATGCTGACATGACACACCTAGATGTTGCCGATTTCTTTGAACATCCTGAAGATGCAAAATGATCATATATTTAATATTTGTCTAGATATTTGATATGTTGTTAGTTTTGCAAGATTGTCAATTACTTTGGTATGTTGTTTGATATGTTGTTAGCTTTATCAATTTACTTTGCTAATGTCTATTCTCGTATCTTTTATCAATATTTAGTTTCATTTATTTTCTTCCTGAAGAAGAAATGAATGCCAAATATTTGGGATCAAATAATGGTGATGATAACATTTGTCTCATTAGTAGTGCTTTTATGCACAGTATATTGAAAAATAAAAGATATTTTTCTTCTTTGGAGATGAGAGAGACAAATGTTAATACCATCAGTGGTAGTGCAAAATTAATTAAGGGTTCCGGAAGAGTCACTCTATTTTTCCCTGAAGGAACTAAAATTGTCATAAATATTACACTACTCTCTCCCAAGTCTCGAAGAAATTTATTAAAGATATCCGTCACAATGGATATCAAATTGAGATATTCTATGAGATAATAATAGAGATCATGTTTAGAAATCAAATGAGATAAAGGTTAATTATATCTTAATAATCGTTCGAGAGCGTAATGGTTATCGATATAGTTATCTTCATTCTCATTTGCTTTATAATCATCACCTGCAGTAAACCAGAAGTTTATTGATTCCAATAAATATATGATTTGACAAAAGTGAGAATATTTGAATGTCGACAAGTATTTATACATACCCCTTTTATATTATACATAGTTTCAAAAGAAATTTATGTCAGGATGCATCACCCCGAAGAGTGATCTATCGAAAACTTTATTTCTTCTGATGAGCTACGATTCCCGACATTAGGGGGAGGAAATGATCAACCGAAGGGAAATTATCTGAAAATTGGATTTTCTCGATTCTCATATAAAATAACGTGAACTAGAAGTTCAAGAAATTCTTCATTTGAAGAAAGTTATATTTATCGACACCAGAAGAGTTATTAAATCAACTATTCCTGCAGAAAATATTCTTGTTAAAATTGATGTCCCTGAAGGACATGTACAAGTGCTACAAATAAAGGCCGACCTACCTATATAAGGTATAAATTGATTTCAAATATCTCCGGAGATTAAATAAATGTCATGACAAAATTTAACCTCCTGAAGAGGTCGCTCCTGAAGAGCCAGCTCCAGAAGAGCCAACTCCTAAAGAGAATGAAATTATAAAAAAGTTAATTGGAGCCTAATGAAATATAGCACTTAATATTATAGAAGTTGATGAAAATCATGAATCTAGATCGGTTGATGAATGTCGGCATAGTAATAATTGGTCAAAATGAAAAGGCCGATACAATCTGAATTTGATTCACTAGCTAAAAGAAATGTATTTGGACCTGTAGTCCAAACACTTGAAGATGTAAAGTCAGTTGGATATAAATGGGTTTTTGTAAGGAAAAGAAATGAAATAGTGAGATATAAAGCAAAACTTGTAACTCAAGACTTTTCACAAAGGCCTTGATTTGATTATGATGAAACGTATTCACCTGTGGTGGATACGATCACATTTAGATATCTTGTGAGTATTGCAGTGCATGAAAAACTTGATATGCGTCTGATGGACGTTGTCACTGCTTATTTGTATAGGAATCTTGACAATAATATTTACATGAGAATCCCTGAAGGATTCAACATACCTGAAGCATGTAAATCAAATCCTAGAGATGTGTATTCTATTAGAATACAAAAGTCTTTATATGGGTTCAAACAATCTGGACGTATGTGGTATAACCGCCTCAATGAATGCTTAACTAAAGAAGGTTATACCAATGACCCAATATGTCCATGTGTTTTAATCAAGAAAAATGAGTCAAATTTTGTAATTATTACAATATATGTTGATGATCTCAATTTGATTGGAACTCCTGAAGAGATCCAAAAGGCTGTCCAATATTTGAAGAAAGAATTTGAGATCAAAAATTTTGAAAAGACAAAATTCTGTATTGGTTTACAAATTGAGCATTTAGAAGGTGAAATTTTTGTTCACCAAACTGCTTATACCCAGAAGGTATTAAAGCGGTTCCGTATGGATAAAGCACATATATTAAGTACCCCAATGGTCATCAGATCATTAGATCCTTATAAGGATCCCTTTAGGCCACAAGAGGAACATGAAAAGATACTTGGTCCTGAAGTACCATATCTCAGTGCAATTGGTGCGCTTATGTATCTTGCTAATTGTACAAGGCCAGATATATAATTTGCTGTGAATTTATTAGCAAGATTTAGTTCCTCGCCTTCAAAACGACATTGGAATGCGTCGGCTAAAAGATCTCATATAATGTTTGCATCAGGGGGAGAATTTATTACACAAGAATAGTGTACTCTTTTTCCTTCACTAGGGTTTTTGTCCCACTGGATTTTTTCCTAGTAAGATTTTAACGAGGCATATTCTTTGTGTCATGGACATCCAAGGAAAAGTGTTATGAAATAATGATAAGGTGTGGATGTCCATTGATATTCTCTAGATGTGACTATCCGTTGATATTCTCAAGAAGGATTACAAGATGAAGATGTCTGTTTGTATTTTCAAGATGATAGTCACATGTATTCTCCCTAGATTCATTGGTACATTGGATGAACTCATTTATGGATGTACTTGATATACTAAATTCATGTATTTGTATTTAATAGGGTTCATGTACCTTTAATCTTGGATCACCTATATATAGGGGTGTATCCTACTTCATTTGTAACCTTGAAAACCTTGGAAATCTTGAAACTTGGAAGTACTTTGATCAGTAGATATAATAACTCTATCTCTCTCTTCTTCTCACTCTACTATTTCAATCCCTACGTTTTATTTTAATAGTTTCACAACACGTTATCAGCACGAGTCTCTACCTTGAATTAAGGAAAAGCACGAGTCTCTACTTTGAGTGAAGGAAAGACGCGAAGTAAAAGTGAAGCACGAGACGTGTCAAGGTTCTGCCCGAACAACTTTTGACTACTTATCAAGGTAAAATTCTTTCCTACGAATCTATTGCATAGTCTTATGGCTAATCTCACAAAACAAGAGTTCATACCTCTTGATATTTCTGGAAAAAATTATTTATCGTGGGTTTTGGATGTTGAAATTCATCCTGAGACAATGGGTCTTGGCAATACTATTATTGATGAGAATGATGGCTCAAACCAAGACTGTGCTAAGGCCATGATTTTCCTTCGTCGTCATTTAGATGAAGGATTAAAAGTGGAGTATCTTACAGTCAAAGATCCTCTTGTCCTTTGGCAAGATTTGAAAGAAAGATTCGACCACCTGAAGTTGATCGTTCTTCCAAAAGCCCGATATGATTGGCTTCACTTACAACTACAAGATTTCAAATCTGTCGACGAATATCATTCAGTTATGTTTAGAATTACTTCTCAATTATCATTGTGTGGCGAAAAGGTCACTGATGAAAATATGTTAGAAAAAACATTCTCTATTTTTCATGTCTCTAATATGCTCCTGCAGCAGCAATATAGAGAGAAAGGATTTAAGAAATATTCTGAACTTATTGCATGTCTCCTCTTGGCTGAACAAAATAATGAATTATTGCTGAAAAATCACGAGTCCCGACCAACTGGTGCAAGTCCATTCCCTGAAGCGAATGCGACTCAATTTCAAAATTCTGTTCGAGGTCGTGGACGTGGATGTGGCCATAGAGGTGGCCGTTACGCACTCGAATGATTATTATGATATGATTAACCTTTATTTCACTTGATTTATAAACATGATCTCTATTATTGTCTCATAGAATGTCTCAATTTGATATCTATTTCGACGGATAAATTTTTTCGAGACTTGGGAGAGAATAGTACATTATTTATGACAATTTTAATTCCTTTAGGGAGAAATGGAGTGGCTCTTCCGGAGCTCTCAATTAATTTTGTACTACCACTGATGGTATTAATATTTGTCTCTCCCATCTCCAAAGAAGAAAAATATCTTTTATTTTTTAATATAGTGTGCGTAGAAGCACTATCAATGAGACAAATGATATCATCACCATTATATAGACCCAAATATTTGACATCCATTTCTTCTTTAGGAAGAAAATAAATAAACATTAATAAAAGATGTGAGAATAGACATATGCAAAGTAAATTGATAAAACTAATAACATATCAAACAACATACCAAAGTAATTGACAATCCTGCAAAACTAACAACATATCAAACATCTAGACAAATATTAAATATATGATCATTTTGCATCTTCAGGATGCTCAAAGAAATCGACAACATCCAGGTGTGTCATGTCAACATCATCATCATTATAAGCATCCTTTTGGTCGATAAAATTTGTATCGACATCTTTGTCCTTCTTTTTCAATGATGCTTGATAGAGGTCAACAAGATGTTCAGCCGTACGACAGGTACGGGACCAGTGACCTTCCATACCACATCGGTAGCATTTTTCTTCATAAACTTTCTTTTCTCCTTCTTTCGGATTGTAGTCATTTTCTCTCTCTTGAGAAATATTTTGTTGCTTGCTACGGTGATAATTTTCATGGGGCATAAATCTACTACGATCACGTCCACGGCCACGGCCACATCCACGGCCACCTCTATGGCCACGTCCACGTCCACGACCTCGAACAGAATTTTGAAATTGAGTCGCATTCGCTTCAGGGAATGGACTTGCACCAGTTGATCGGGACTCGTGATTTTTCAGCAATAATTCATTATTTTGTTCAGCCAAGAGGAGACATGCAATAAGTTCAGAATATTTCTTAAATCCCTTCTCTCTATATTGCTGCTGCAGGAGCATATTAGAGACATGAAAAATAGAGAATGTTTTTTCTAACATATTTTCATCAGTGACCTTTTCGCCACACAATGATAATTGAGAAGTAATTCTAAACATAGCTGAATGATATTCGTCGACAGATTTGAAATCTTGTAGTCGTAAGTGGAGCCAATCATATCGGGCTTTTGGAAAAATGACCAACTTCAGGTGATCGAATCTTTCTTTCAAATCTCGCCAAAGGACAAGAGGATCTTTGACAGTAAGATATTCTACTTTTAATCCTTCATCTAAATGACGACGAAGAAAAATCATGGCCTTAGCACGGTCTTGGTTTGAGGCATCATTCTCATCAACAATGGTATTACCAAGACCCATTGCCTCAAGATGAATTTCAATATCCAATACCCACGATAAATAATTTTTTTCAGAAATATTAAGAGGTACGAACTCTTGTTTTGTGAGATTAGCCATAAGAATATGTAATAGATATGTAGGAAAAAATTTTAAGTAGTCAAAAGTTGTTCGGGCAGAATCTTGACATGTCTCGTGCTTCACTTTTGCTTCGCTCCTTTCCTTCACTCAAAGTAGAGACTCGTACTTTTCCTTAACTCAAGGGAGAGACTCGTGTTGATAACGTGTTGTGAAACTAATAAAATACACCACTAACGAAGGGATTGGAATAGTAGAGTCAGAAGAAGAGAGAGATAGAATTATTATATTTACTGATCAAAATACTTCCAGGTTTCAAGGTTACAAATGAAGTAGGATACACCCCTATATATAGGTGATCCAAGATCAAAGGTACATGAACCCTATTAAATACAAATACATGAATTTAGTACATCAAGTACATCCATAAATGAGTTCATCCAATGTACCAATGAATCTAGGGAGAATACATGTGACTATTATCTTGAAAATACAAATGGACATTTTCATCTTGTAATTCTTCTTGAGAATATCAACGGACAGTCACATCTAGAGAATATCAATGGACATCTACATCTTATTATTATTTCATAACATTGTAACAATTCACGTAGGTATTAGTTGTTAAATTTTTGATAAATTATCTTTTACCACACTGTAATTTGATACTTTACTACATAAACCCCCTTGGTTTATATTAATTCTCTCATAGTTTGAATTAAAGTGTTACTTTTAATTTTTCAATAGTAAAAAATCAAAGTCAAACTAATAAATTGACAAATTTATCCTTTCATTATTTCTTTTTTTTTCCTCCAAACATAAAAAAGAAGAAATTGAAAAAAATAGATAAAAAAGAATTAGAAAATGCCATTAAAGATTTGGTTTAAAAACCTATAATGATATTTATAGCCAAAAAATATTTGGCATTTTTTGTTTCTTATTTATTAGTTTTATATTTCTCTTCCATCTTTTTGGATTATTATTTATTATTTATTTTCCTTCCATCTCTTCTGTATTTGGAGAAAATTAAAACTTTATAGACCAAAATATAAGTTTTCAAAATCATATATTCTCTTTCGAGAGAGGGAGAGACAGAGATAGAGAGAGAGAAGGAAAAAAGAAAAAAAGTAGTGCAAGGGTACATTTATCAATTTATTAGTTTGATTTTGACTTTTTACTATTAACCATTAGTTTTAATGAATAAATTAACTGTGACACTTTAATCCAAATCATGAGAAAGCTAAGAGAGTGCAAGGGTAAGAAGCTAGTGTTATTAAATTTGAGCTAAACTAGTTGGTTCGACTGAAACCAAGAACCAACAAGGTCACCAGTTTGATTTAACATTAGAACCCGAAAGGTATTTGATTCAGTCAAAACTGATCAAAACTTCAATTGAAGGTGAAAATTGAAAAAATCATGTTTTCTTCAATTTTTTGGTTTTTTTCTTTTTAAAGTTTCTTTTGCAGTAAAATTTTTCCCTTGCTGGATACTGCTTGGTCGTCGCCATCCACCTTTTCCCCCAAACATGTAAGGTAGTTTTGTTTGGTGTTTTGGGGGGGGGGTGGGCACTTTTCCCCCGAGGTCAAAGAAAACCTTGAACTTTAGGTATAGAAATTTAATAATAATTTTGTTTTAAACCTAAAAATTTATATATGTGCCTCTATTGAAAAAAGAAATTATACGTTTTAAGCAGTGGACTTAAAAAAAAAACTTTCTTTACACGTCAATAGTTCATAGTAAGGAAACATATATATTTGCCTTTAGTTAACTTGATAATAACTCTGTAGAAGAATCAAGTAAAAATTACAACCACACTTTTTACAAACCTAATTCTATTAGTACAAATTTAGTCCAATAGTGAGTTTTCCAATACAACATAATTTTGGAACATATTAAAGAAAGTTTAATACCATCTTATTTTATTTAGTGAATACATATAGATCTACTTCTTTTTACTTGATATTTGGCTTATATTATCTAATTGTATTAATAGAACTAAATGAACTTTATTTTATATTTTGTTCCGCTGGAACAATATCTTAACTGCGCCACTACTTTATATTAGCTATAAAACTCATTAAGTATGCCAGATTCAAAGGAAGTTTTTTTTAAATACTATTTTATTTTATTTAGAATTAAAATATATTTATGACGTCATTATTACATCATTAAATTCTTCAGTTTTTGAACCCAACCTTATTGGTTGAACCCATCGACTCACTTGATCTAGATGATGTCCGGTCCGAGTTTCAAACCAGTGGAAGAAACAAGAGAACAGGATAGAAATGAATTACAATATATATCTAATCGAACGCCAGTCTCAAAGTTACATACGTCCTTCAAAAGCCCGAGGACTCAACTTTTGCAGGCCCCAAGACTAGGTGGTCGCTGGAAATATATAGCAGCAGCAGCAACTGAAATCCTCTGAAGTGCTATATTTTGGGCGTTATATTTTTCAAACTGAGGCAGCACAGGATTAATGATATTTGTGCAGTCATTTATAGGCCTTTCGGACTGTTCTTCATCCAAGAACACAGAAGAACTATCATTGATGGCAAGTGCCCGAAATGCATCATTGTACGAAGAAGATACTTCGGTATAACCCTCTTCACAAATTGTAAGAAGGTCTGCAACCTCCTTACTTGCATGAGATTTTGCTTCTTTTACAACACTTAAAGTATTGGTAACGTTTGTCAATACTTGATTGATCGATATTTCAACAAAAGTTCGAGCATCTGTTGATGGACTAGATAGATTTTGTTTTAAGACGTCTATACAGAACAGCGTTTCTGGCATTTGGTCACAAATTTTGATGATCAACTGAAAAGTAGGATTGTCTGGTCTAACACTGAATGATGGTTTTTTCACAAGAGTTAGGAGCAGGATTATGAGCAAGAGATGATTCAGATGAACCTGAAAATGAAAGGAAGCCAATTCTGTTGCATATATTCTCAATGTAAAAAGAGGAAGGAATGAAATCTTTATGAAGTGAATGGTTTTAGTGCCACATAATTATATGCTTTTAGTTTGGACAATGAATGTGAATGCAGTATCCAGTAATTCTGTCGGTGACTTCTTTCGTTGCCAAAGAGGAAAATGCTTGCTTTAGTTTTGCACTCAAACGAATGCACATTAAGATTTACTAAATGCAGTCAAAAGGAATAAAAATCTTCTTATACCATAAGTGAGTATGTTATAGGAGAAAATAATTGGAGAATGTACAAAAGTGCAATGCATAACAAATTACGGATAACACTGTCAAAGAACTGAAAACAGAAGAAAGAAACAAAACTAATATAGGTACTCTTAAGCAAGAGCTATTTCGTATATGGTTTTCTTATTATCACAAAAAATTACAGAAAACACGGCCAAAGAACAGAAAACAGAAAAAATGGACAATGCTATAGTGCCTATAGTTATGATAACAACATTAGGAAACCTACTATTATAGGTTTCATTACCTTTAGTGACAGATCAAGGTTTTTAGCGACTTTTTAAATATTATATTAAAATAATTAATATTGACGTTAGTAAGTTTTTAATTAAAACTAGTAAGTATATGCTTGAAAGAGTAAGTTTTAGTCAAAAATAGAAATTTACACTTTGAGTAATTTAATTTACTTATTATTTGACAAAATTTACTTTTGTTTAAATTAAACTTACTAATATTAAAAGTAAAAAATTTACATATTTAAGTAAAAAAATCACTGGTTTTTGAAACGGTTTTGGGTTATCACGTCTTTCTAAAGTTTCTTGCCTTCTTTTTATTTTCTTCTCATTTCACGATATGATGGAATAGAAATTTTTTTCCTGGCAAAATTTTCTTGTTTAGTCCACACTTTCCCTCTCTCCTTGTTGATCGATCGGTTTTGGATGCTGGCATATGCAGACCCAACAAAAAGGTTGAAATTTTTATTAGGGCTGTGGTGGTGGTATCCGACAAGAGAGCAGATGAAAAATAGCAGCCAAGAGGTTAGACCATCATGTTTTTTGAAAACCGCTTGATTATATTGCTTTAATTTCTTTATCTTTTTGATTTGGTTGTCAATATTTTGTTGAAAAATATGTGGGAAATGACTTAGACACTATATGTGAAACATAGTAGTGAGTCAGCGTTTATGTGAAAAGTGGTTAATTTGGGAATCCATATAAGGTGTTTGGTGCAATGTCAAAAAGAAATTTGTATGATATGATTGATGCCTGTACGGAGTTAGAAAGCACCAAACAACTTGATTAAAACCACAGTTGACGAATTTCAGTTACGCCGGCCAACTTTATCATTTTTTTTTTGGGAAGGGGGGTTGTGGTGTGTAAAATATTAGTATACAATAAATTAGAGTTTGAACTATATTTGTGCCAAACAATGTATTTCAATTGATCACAATTTCAAATCCATTCAACTGAATAATTTATTGAATTCAAATCCACCGACCCCAATAGAGTAATTTATTTGTCAAAAGCAACAAGCATTTTAACTTCTAACTATGTAGTGTTTTCATTAGGCATACAAAAGTTCGATTTTATGCATAATTTAAGAGGACAAATTGACTGCATTAATTTGTTCAGTAATTTCTATTTCTTCAAGACTAAAAGAAAAAATCAGATGATAAAACTATTAAATAAATTATTTAAACCTGTGGATGCATCCTTCAACTATGAACCGAATTTCCACTTTGATTTTTGAATTTCAAAATAGGACACTTTAATTCCTAAAGTATAAATCTGGTCCCACCTTAGTTCCTAAGATATACGATCTGTCTTACTTTAGTCCTTAAAGTACAAAATTTCTTCTACCTAAGTATAAAACTTGTCTCACTTCTGTTAGTCAACGAATTTACTCGAAAGGGGTAAATTTTATATATAGAGTTTAAAGTGTCTTATTTTCAGTTTAGAAATTAAAGTAGGAATCTAAGTATGGTTGAAAAGTACAAAGTGGCATTAGCCGTATGAAACAAAAAGAAATAGGCAAACAATTATATGTACATCAGTACCTCTTTTATTCCTATTGGGCCCTTAGATTCCAATTGTAGGTAAAGACCCTTTTAGTGGAGTGAAAACCACCTCTTCCCTAAGTGAAACTTTTGGGCTTTGTGAAATTAATTGATCCACTCATTGGCTTGATTTTAGAAGGCCAAAAATGTTAGCTATATATATACACTTCATATACTCCTTTATATATTTAATCTTTTTGTTTTTGGATTGTGCTTGGCAATTTTTTGTTCGCAGGTCATTTGGACATGATAGACGAAAATGTACTAAAGTGTGCACAGATGCATATGAAACTCACAATCATGATCACATGGGAGCACCCAATTATGTTGAGAATGTAAATTTGAACCTGATAGGATCATCCTATGGCATATTGCAATCAGATTCACAGCATGGATGCAATAAGGAGTTAATGGATAGTAATTGGTTTCAGATCATTCCTCCTGGCCAGGTAATGTACAGCTTGCTTTTATTTTTGTGTGAAGACATGAAATATAATTGTGCTGTATTTGCATTTGTATAGGCATTAATGTGGGCATGCAATCCTTCATTAATCCATAGTCATGTACGAAACACTAGCTTGTTAGTAGACGAAAATATTCAGGTACATTTTTCCTTCTTCACGCCTAAGTTTTATGTCACTTATTTGCTATGATTATGTGTTGTTGTGGCTTTATTTTTATAACAAATTTTGTGATGGTTTTGTAGTGAATAAACCAGATTTCAGCCAAGACCATTAAGGAATTTTATTCTCGAGAGGGTACAAATTTTTTTGTTCGTCTTTGCTCAAATATTTTAGGATGATTTAAGTCGCTTCGAAGGTAGTTTAATGCATTTTGATTGTAAATCTGAACATAATCTCCTTAGTTTGCAATTTCTTGTGTTTACTTGTTTTATGTTCACAATTTTTCCTTTTGTATTTTATGTATGTCAAGCGATGTTATATGTCTGATTTGATGCGATGTTACAATTTGTACTTGCTTGGATATTTGGCTAATCAAAATTTAGAGGGAAGGGGCTTTTACAAGTCCATGAGGTGTTTGGTACCTTGCATCTTTAATAATACGCTTGCATCTCGTACTATTGATTACAAAAGCATGCTAAATTTGTCGGACAAAACTAAAAGGAGCATTTTGAGCTTACTACCAAGTAGTAGTGCTGTGACTGAAGTCCATGGCAAATTTGTGTACACGTCAAAATTAAGGGACCATAAAATAAAGTGACAACAAGACTTGAAACGTTCTTCTGCCTTATTAAGTACTTGTTATTCAGCTAGAAATAGCAAAGATAAATTAGAATTTTTCCCAACTATGAATACTTTTATTGTTCATCTTCTTTGCAAATGATCTTGTAAAAGAAATCCCCATGGGTTCTCAGGGTGTAGGACCAATTCCATTGCAATGTTCAATCCCGGATTGAAACTGAAAATTCATGACACCATAATAGAATTAGTGAGTTAACCATGCAAGTGAAGATAACAGTTACAATGACATTTAAAATTATTCACCGCAAAAAAATCGTGCAGCAGGTGATTAGGACCAAATAGTGTGTCAAGTGATTCTTCTTTACGTGCAGCAGGTGAGCGACGGGTTTTAGGATCAATTTCTTCATCCATAGGACCGCCTTTATTTTTAATGCTAGAGTGACTAGCACATGAGCAAGAATGGCATTAGAGCTTAAATTAGAGATCTCACGGTATTTTTTCAATGATTGATTTATAGTTAAACTATCCATCAATAGTAAACATAGGTTTGCCAAAACACAGCACCAGAACCCGCAATCCAATAAATGGGATAGGACAATTACTCATTTACAGATTACCATTTTCAAAAGATTCCATACTACAAATGAATAGTCACTCAAGGAAAAGTAATCACAATAATATTATCAGCAAATTAAGGAAACATGCGGATACGACAACAATTATTAAACTCTTTATGGGGTGCGTTACCATATTAAATTCTAAGTCAATCAATATTAAACTCCAATTGCATAGCACGTGCGTTACCATGAATGACATCAATTATACTACAAGTCTAACCTCAGTTTTCCATTAGAAAAAAAACATTCTATCTTTAAAGGAGTTTGTTTGCTTCACCTTGCTTCCATTCCAAAGAAATAGAACGGAAATAACTTTTAGCAAAGCTAACAATAAATATTCACTAAATATGGTGAATATAAAAAAAAAAACACCTATAATAGAGCATACCTATGAGAGGGAATAAAATATAAAAAGATCTTACAAGCATAAAATCCCACAGCTTAATTTACTTACATCATTTATTTGTTGCTCATCCGTAATTCACAAATTGTCAACCCAAATAAGTAGTTATTAGTAAAATATAGCTTTACCAGGCGAAGAGATATTTTCCAGGTATCAACTAGTGAGTTTCATGGATATTGAAAATCACATTCAAGATTAAACAAAAAGACTGAAGTTCATGTTTTACTGTTGAGTAATAAGAGAAATGTAAGAAAATGTGAGAAAAAAAGTCGTGCCCTAGTTCATCGACCTTTCCCACTTAAACGAAAACTCATGGCTAATAAAAGTCACCTTGTCACTTATCTCTGGAATTCTCAACCGTTTCAAATTTTAACAAAGAATTCTATCACAACCACAACACTTTTGAATTCAAAACCACAAAAAAGCCTATCCTTTTTTTTTTTTTTTGAAATTTTGCGTTAAAATTAACAAAAGTCCTACTTATGTGCACCTTTCCCGTAACATTATTTATTGTTGCAATTTCCTATTTTAGTTATCCATTTGACACTAGTATGGGCATAGATACCGATTAAGCAACTTGTTT